TCAGGGGTTTTAGGCAATTAATTACGGTCAGATGAGCATAGTTTGATACCCTTTTTGTAACACTGGCAGGTCACTAATTGACGGGGTCCAGGGGGCTGGGCCGCTGAAGCTCAGGAGTTTTAGGCATTTAGTTACGGTCAGGTGAGCATCCAGGGGCCCGCCTAAGGGCCTGTGGTCCTAGGGGGGGGGGGGGGGGGGGTGGGGGAGCCCCCGTAAGCTCAGGGGTTTTAGGCATTATTACGGTCATTTGAGCATAACTTGATACCTCACTAGTAATTTGTGACACTGGCAGTTCATTCATTCTTTCTTTCTCTTTTTCTTTCTTTTTCTCTTTACCATACTTTCAAAAAAGTTAGGGAGGGGGGCTCGAGCCCCGAGCCCCGCCGTTCTGCAAGCCCTGACATGAAGGCTTCTTAATAAGAATATTTTTGCCAGCCTGTATTGAGAAAAAAATCCCGGAAAATCCCGTCATTTCAGCAATATTTGATAATCACTGGTATCGAATTAGAAATAAACCACATTTGAATTGTATTGGGGGCAGGGGCGAATCCAGCCGGCGGCAGAGAAGGGGGCCAAAGAGGGGGCCCAATTCGTGAGAAAATATTTAGCGGCGAAAAAGCTAGTTCAAGTTAACTGCTAAAATAGTTTTAAATAGTAATTGATTTGGTCATTACAAGGTTAAAAAACCTTTGATTTCTTGTGAATTGACTTGCTGACCTTTGACCTTTCTTTAGCCAAAATAACTTAAATTTGTCTCACTAGGCCTAAAATTGTATTGCCCTTTGCGACCGACCCCAAAATCTTGAAATCTACAGTTGGCTTTTTAATTTTTTTTTTTTTTTTACTGTTTTTTAGAGAAAAAAAATATTAAGGCAGTCAAAACTTCAAAATATCAGCCCAAAGAGGGGGAGAAAAAAAAAAGATTAACAAAAAAGTTTAAAAAAGATTTCTAACCGACCAACCCATGTTTTGGCACTTAACGGGCAATACAACATCTTTTTTGTTAAGGCCCTATGGTGATGCACACAATTAATCATTAGTTGACGTCACCATAGTTCATGGCTCCAATCATACCTCATACTTGTAATTTCAGAAACTGACCTCTATTATCTTTGACCTTTGACCCCGCCCCCCCCCCCACTCAGTGTTATTTAGGGTACGCATATGCTCGTTCCCTCTTTTTGAAAGCACCCCCTATCTGTGGACTGCAAACATTTCCGAACCCCCCTTTCGCGGGCTTTTTGCGGGCTTTTCCTGCCTTGGAGACCCCCCTAAATCATGAAAAATGCTCAATGTACCCCCCTAAATTCTGAATAATTTCTCAGGAGTCCAAAGAGACGAGAGAAAAAAAAAGAAAAAACACCCCCTTTTTAAAGAAATCTCCGGGTGAAAAGTTAATAAACCCCTTTTTTTTTACAATTCTCGGGCTGGACTTTGTCGCACGAAAAGTACCCCTTTACCTGACATTCTGGTAACACGCATGGGGTCATTTCGACCCCGGAGTGGGGGGCCGGGCCTTTGACCTACTCGTCCCAAAATCTAATTCGATTGTCTTCCTATGGTGATACATCCGTCACCAGATTTGAAACTCAAAGCTCAAATGGTTCTTGAGATATCGCGATAACGAGTCTAATATCTCTACTTTTTATAAATTGACTGATATGACCTTTGACCTACTTACTTCAAAATCTAATCAGATTGTCTTCCTATGAGGATACATACTTTCAAGAGGTTTGAATTTCATATCTCAAGTCGTTCTTGAAATATCATGTTAATGAGAAAGCGGGGAGGGGGGGGGGGGGGCGGGGGTACGGACAGATACAAACAAAAAATTGTTGGTCAGAGGCACAAGAAGTTGGATATTTATGAAATGTGTATCCCAACACACAATAATTAGAGAAAACAAAAGTAACACTAAATTTTGGAACAAATTAAAATTATTATTTTCTTCCACTTCTCAAAATATTTCGAGATATACATACATTGATGCCAAATATAGTTGCTCACAATCTGACCTACATGTACGACAATTAATCATGGTGAGGTAGCAAAATACCTCAACAAGGAAATTTCCTCTTTTCATAGATGAGAAGTTGAAGAAACAGAGCTCCCTCTATAAAATGAAATGAAAGTGAAAATTATCTACTTATCAGGTGCATTTTATGAATAGCAATTGTGAGTGTCACATTGACATCCTTTATTTAAAAAAAAAAATCATGAATGGTTTGTATTTACAAAAATGATATGGATAAACTGGATTGCTTTGAGAAAAACCAAACACTAGATGCTTTGTTAGAGAAGATCTTCCAACAAAAACACTATTTCGCCCCTTATTAGAACTCAACCTTCTCTTAAAGCTTATCTGCCGTAGTTTACAGGAGGGATTAGACCGCTCTGCAAGGTCACTGGACAGGTGGTTATCTCATCAACTCAGCTCTCAGTTAACATAAGAAAGAGAGGATCATGGGGGACCAATGGTCACCGATTAGGCATCGTTTGTTATATAGAGGGAGCAAGTAGCTACCAGTAGTGCAGTGGGCCTTTAAAATTATAGGGGAGAAGCATGACTCAACAAGAGTTGAAAAAGTAAAGTAAGACAAATGACAATTTTACGATGTGGATTGTCGACAGATGTTTATCATTTTTTTGCACATTTTACGTACTCAATACTCCATTTTCAATGATGTACATGAACACAGACATCTAGAATTGTGATTATCTTGCTATTTATTGACTAGAATCAAAGATATTCCTAAATGGATTGGGAATGGGGGGGGGGGGGGTTGATTCTGTACATGGCCTTTGAAAAAACGGCTCCAGAATTTACTACTGGTATATAACATTACATTCATGTACTTACATAAGACCTCTACCATGAATGCCTCACAATACTATTTGTTAATTTTATAGTTTCGTTATTATTTGTCATCGTTACATATTCGCTATCTTGCAAATTATATCATATTTAATTATATTAAAAAAAAAAAAATCAAAGTGTTCCTTTTACATATATTTGTGATCGCACAATATAATTGTATACTTTGCCGTCTGTTTAATTCAAGAAAAAAAAATCAAATACAAAAAAAAAAATAAGGTGACATTAGAAAATTCCATATTGCAACAAATACAAAAGAATCCATCAAATGGACTGAAAAATTAAAACAAATACTTTGCACCTGGGGGGTGTTTCACAAAACTTGTCATCAGTGACAAATGACAGTTTTTGTTATAAGCTACTGAAATCCTCGCTTCTGATTGGTTATCAGCAGTGTTGTCATTGATTATTGTCATTTGTCATTGAAAAAAGGCTTTGTGAAACGCCCCCAGGTTTATATTCAGTAAAGAAGGGGTACACTTTCTTGATTAGCAAGAGCATAATAAATACAGAAGTGCCAGTAGACCAGTTTACTAACATATTCAAATTTATCAATGTTTCTTTCCTGGGGACCTAGTGAAGAGTTATTCCATTAACCTGTTATTAATAAATGAACTACAATACTTGTTAACCCGCCTGAATATATTATTTGTTGCCATGTCGGGAAAGCCTCACGCACGATTTCAGATTTCAGAACAACCATTGTTTTAAAAGTATGCATTGAGTGTGAATATGTTAGTAAACTGGTCTTTTGCCAAGGGATATACTTTCAATCTAAAAAAAAACGCTTTCCTTCTTTCAAATCATTACCCAGGACTCGGAAGTCGGAACTATCACTACTAAAATTCAAAACACATATAAATAAGCTTTGGTCCTATGATAATCCCTTATTTATAATGCACTAGAGATACTCAGATATTTATTAAATCATGCATAGAACTCATGCCGGCTTATAGTCTACTCATTTAGAAAAATTTGATGTCAAAACGAAATCATAGTTACTTGAAGTTTTTTTTTATTGACAATTCATCAAAATGCTCAATATTCACTAAAATAGTAGTTACCTGAATAGAGTACCAAGGTGCTGATGTCATATTCACTCGTCTTTCAGGTTACTGGTTCCAAACAACAAAGACCAAGCATGAGGTTCACCGCAACATCATTCAAGCAACGGGCTGGAGCAGGGCAAATTCAATGTTTGGCACTGGTGTGATCACCAAGCCATTGTTTAGCACAAATTTTTTTGGAGTCAGCAACCTTAACAACTTTGTTAATATGACGTCACACTTTGGTACTCTATCAGGTTTTCCCATTGACAATTCATCAAAATGCTTCATTAAATCATCTTTATTCTCATACACTTCAACACAGAGTTATCCACCTTTTGGCTCTGAACAGGGTTTTCTTATTGAAAATTCATCAAAATACTTAGCATCGTCTATATTCTTTTAACTCCTACACTTCAACACACAAGGATTGTCCTTCTGCCTCTAAACAGACGATATGCTTCATGAAAGGCGATATAATTTGAAGTTAATGTCTCACTGGCGGCGAAGGATAGAAAGGATTTTATTCATCATACCCAGTTGATTACGAAACGTAGACACACACTAGTGACACAACCCTGAACATATCTGATGAGCACATACCGGTACTGTGGCTTATCCAAGGAATCAAAATGAACAAAATTAAGATGAAACTTTGAGTGAGTGGTTTTATGTTTGATGATGGTGTTCAAATGTTCCAAGGCCCGTTAGGAAGTTAAAGCTCACATACAGTTTGGTAGCAAAAGCTTTGTTGGAAAGAAACATGTTAAATACGGTCTCACTGTGGTCCTGCAAAAGATGTATGAACTTCAGTGAATATTAGTAGTGCAAATATCTGTAAGCAATGCAAGATAATGGCTATACACTCAGGTTAAGTAGGACTCTTCCACCCCAATAGGTCCACGCACAGCAATCCCAGTACTTTGCTTTAAAGGGATTGGGTAACTTTGCCTCAGATTCTGAAACAAAATTCTAGATTTAGCTCATGCTGCAATGATAAAAATTTGTTTTCCTAACGGTTTTTATAACACTACAGTCTATTGGGGAAAATGAGTATGGTAAAACCAGTCACTCAAAGATGTTTACTTTTTTTTTGAGGCACTTCATGATCATTTTGAAGCGCAATTTTGTTAGGGCTTCAATATTACACCATATCACAGACATTGATAACATGTACGGCCATGCCTCTCAGATTCAACATTGTTAAACGACGCCATTAACTCTTATCCTGCCATAATAAATATAACTCAGTGCCACAGGGCTAATCCCCATTGTGCCAAGTAACAACTCCCCCCTGTGCCAACTTTATTTTGAGATAATCTGATGGTGCGATCAACAGCTTATGGGAAGCAGTCAGCACAGTACAATTAGCATGAACAATAACTGCTATTACGATTGTGAGCATGCATGTGTAAAGTATGTGTAAAGCAGCTAAGCTGTGGCTCCCTCGCGTGAATTAAGTAGCCAATCGAGCACTAAAACGGTAGCGTGCATGCGGCCTTACGACAGGATATGAGTTAATAGCGATATTGAGTGTAGACTGAATCACTTACACACGCAGTCCTCATAGGTTTTACACCTTAGTGTTCTTTGAATTTATATATGTCCCAGGATGGGTATCTAAATTGTATTTTACCTCTCATTTGTTTAATATATCACTCAAAGAGGAAAACACTCACAGCACCTAGTTATTTATCATCTAAATTCTAAGAAATTTTACAAAATATTACCGAAACTGTACATGACCTTAAAGCCTTTGAGCTGGATCAGATCATACACACCTAGATACTATCATCATCAAACATGAAATCATCTTTTGTAGCATAACTTTTCATAGAGCAGCAAGTCCACAGTATTTGTTAATTTTTTGTCCCGTACATTACCAAGAAACAAAGAAATGACATACAAATCAACATTTCTAGTGTCATTTTCCATGTTTTTTTTCCTGATCCAAGCTGTAGTAGGGCTGTCAGCTTCATAGAATCATCGGGTATACTAAAAACTTTGATGTTGGTAATGCATGGGAGAAAATACCTTATAGTTGCCGAGATATGTCAATTAAATAACACATCTTGGTGAGTGGAAAATATTGCAGAATGTACAGTTCACAGAGTTTGAAACTCTTCATCACTATAGTAATTGGTTGACATATCTGGCGCAATCGCCAACCTTAGCTGGTTCTGATACACTTACGAGTCTTTTGATCAAGACGGAAGCATCCAAAGAGTTAGCTATCGCTTGCGAGTTCTCATCCCCCGCTAACAACGTCCCAAGGCACACCAGGAGTCGGAACTGTGCTTCTGGTTCCTTCTCCTCCCCCAACTGTGTGATTGCCATGGCGACGCATTGGGATTTGGCTTCCACGTCGGACCCGCCTTGCAGCAGGACGGCGTAGTTTAGCACCAGGGTTGCTACGGCGATGCGTAGGTTCTTGTTTGTGATGGTCAGACTCCCCATGGCAGAGACACCGATGGTTTCCCGCTGCGCTACAAGAAGGGACTTCCCCTCCGACTGTGTGAAGCAGTTGCATAATGCCCTGTAGAGCAGCATGTGATTGGCTGCAGGGCTGGAATTGGCGGCAAGGCTAAATAGGTGGGAGAAGAAACCAGGACCATCCTGGGAGTTGCAGAAGTGCTGGTTGACGGCCGGGTTGCGGATGGCTAGTCGCAGCAAGTCTAGACCAGGAAAAACTTGATCTTTAAAAAATAAAATGATAAGAAAGGGGCCAAATTAGTCACTTGACTTTAATGATTAGTTTTATGATTATATTTGTATTTTGCAGTCCATGTAAACTAACAGAGAAACTTTTAAAAACCGGACAGCAGGGGGTTGAAGAGGTCGAGTTCTGGGAAGAGGTGAAAAATAATTTGTGAGCGTTATCATTGTTATTATGCAAGTGTGAAAGAACATCAGATAAAACATGTTCCTTGAAAAGCATGGCTCTTCAAATGCCTTCATATTTTAAATATGTCATGTAACATCGTAAAAATCGATACAGATTTTTACGTCACGAGTTTGTGTATTCCCATATACATCTTTCTGTGTACAGTGTTTGTAACTTTACCAAGACTTTGCCTAATTTATCATCATTCTGATGATTCCAGAACTTTGCAATACACACAAATACCGATACTTATATGCTAGATGATCAACCTTTTCTGGTCGATTCCACACCATTTCTTTCACAATTCAATCGCATGACCAGAACTCAAGTTCATCTTTAAAGCTTCTTGATATGCATGTAGTACTGTTCGGTGTTGTTCATCTCAAACTAATGAAAACAAAGTAGGTTAAAAACGCTCTCCTTTATCATCTCTAATCTGTAAAATCATTCATAGCACATCTGTTCATTTCTTATTTCAAAGAAGCTTGGTAAAAAATTCACAATTGTCACAGACACGGTTCAACAAGTCATCCCGTCTTTAGTACATAAATCACAGAAAGTAGTTCTACGACACATGCTCACGGGTCCATTACACAGTCCTACACTAGCCAAATTCCTAACGTCAACACTGACCCAAACACAATATCTAAACCTAACTCTAACCATACGATAATGATAAAAATAATAATAAAGACTATTTGTAAAGCCCCATATCCTTTTCACAGAAATACTCAAAATACCGAGAGTATCCATAAAAAATGTACACAATAATTAGATGTAAATTGCAATACAGAGTACAGGTACATGAACACTATAATTAAAAGTAAAATAGAGTAAATCAAAAAATAAGTAAACGTAAATATACACTAAGAACATACATAAATGACATAGATGAAATGTGGAAATATTGAATTAATCAAAAGCGTTTTGAACAGGTGAGTTTTAAGGGTTGACTTGAATGAGTGAATGGTAGTGCTGTAGCTCGGAAGGCCTACCGGGTTCTAAACCGCCGGGTTGAGTGTTTCAGGCTGAACATCTTCCGGGCTGAACTGTAGCCAGAATAAGGTCAACTCGGCAGTAAAAAATAAGTTTTGAAATAGCTCTTTGTTCATTATCTACTTATCTGTCATCATGATAAAGGCGATTGTCATCCAAGCACAAATTTGGTCACCCACAAATCATCTTCTTCAGAACTGACCCCACGAAACATACCTTGTGGCCATTGAAGTAATGACCATAGTGCAGCCAGCTGCTGACCGGTGGGAGTGCCTCCTTGACCGTTGGACATACACGCTAAGAGGCTTTCTAGGTGTGACAAAGTTGCATCATCAAGACGACATGAGGCATCGATGGTGGAGTTCAGCTGGGTGATTTTACCTGCACACACGATACAAAAGAAGCATAATATGTATGGTACTACAAAATCAAAGAATAGCAACGAATACAGACAAACTACTACTACTACTACCGGTACTAATAATTATGGTGGCTTCTTATACACATGACATGTCCGTCATGTCGTGAAGCTCCTGGCTCTCCAACATTATTACAACAGTCAGAGCTGGCAGCCAATTACGTAGCGCCCTGGCATATCAGTTGACTATTTTAATACACCAGGGTGGAGTGTGTCAAAGGTAGATTAATGTCTTGCCAAAGGACGATAATGCCAGGATGGGATTTGAACCCTCAGCTCTTAGATTGAGAGTCAAGTGAATGAACCACTTAATGCATAGGTCACATACACCGCGCCCTGTTCGATTTCCCTACCCGGCGGCTTGCCATGGATTTTAGAGACTGTACGGGACCCTTCAGATTTTCATTTCTACAGCATCCGTGGTCACATATTCTGCGGCGCCCGGTGAAAATTTGTCGCGTGAAAATGCAAGGCGCCTGGTCGGGTGCTGGTGGGCTGCCGGCCTAGTGCTGGCCGGTAAGCTTACAGGCTCTGTCCGATGAACAGGTGCACCCCACGGCTCCCGGGGCCCAGTAGGGGCCCTGCCGTGCGGTGCACTGAACTATGTGTCCTCTGACATCCGCGCCTCCATTGAGAATTGACAGAAAAAAATTGGCCTTTTACTTCCTATCTACGGCTCAAAGGTCAGATGAAAACACAGGGAGAATTGGGAGCAGCTATCACAATACCACGGCACCCGTAAGGTTGGTGAAAAATGTCCTGGCGCCCGGGGGAGCTGTACGGGAGACGGCCGGATACCGACCGAAGATTCCCAAAATGTCTGTTAAACCATGGAGTAACTCCATGGTTAAACTAATCTCACTAATTTACTTTGTTATATTTTAAAAGGTGCCATAGAATTCTTTTTTAATGTTTTTTTTTATTAATCATATCGTAAATCTGTACTATATTACATCATATTATATTGTTTTAAGTACCAAATAAATTATCATTTGATATTTAAAAAAAAAAAAATATTTGTTACAAATCATTGTACCGGTATGCAGTAGCATAAATGGACACCAAGTGTTTAAAAATTGTTAAAACTATAAGCATTGCATGGAAAGTAGGTATGCTAACAAAAAAGACGACAACAGAAGAACTGCTTTTAGACAATTTTTGTTAAATAATTAAAAGCAATGTGTGACAGACCAAAATGAACAAATCACTTTTGGCTTTCTAATGAGGTTTTCACTGTGACTGTTGAGTGCTTGACTGCATGAACCAAGTATACATCAATCGACCTTACCTAAGATGGCTTGTGTGTTGGCAGAGTCAAATGAGACATAATCTTTCTTTGGGAAGTACTGGTTTGTAGACTGGGTGACGGCGGTGGCTTGAGGCTGAGCAGCTCCAGATCCTCCTGGACGATAACTCGAACCACCTGCAATTTCAAGGTTTACAGTCAAAATCAACCTTGAGTTCTCGAATGAAAATAAAATAAATGTATCTACAGCTTAATAACAAAAAAGTATTTCTACACTTAACAAGTTCTGTAGTTTTTTTTTAGGTACCAGTATTTGAAAAAAAGAAGGAAGGAAGGGGCAAAAAAAAAAAAAAAAAAAAAAAAAAATCAGTTTTCTATGAAAGATAACTCCTACCCTTATACATTGTAATAGTGAGTCAAAGGTCAATATTTGCAACTTAATCGAAAATTGTGACTTAAACTAAATAAATGTTAAATGCATTTGGAAGTATTCCTTGCTCCATATTAAATTTTCATAGAGAAAGAAAATTCAGTAACACAATCTTATAAAATAAAACTACCAAACATAAAGTGCTCACCAGTGAAGGGGTCATGACCCCCTCCTCCTCCTCCTCCTCCTCCCCCTCCTGATCCTACAGAGGGCAGGGAGGGGTCACCCCGGCTACCTGGAACATAACGAGATCCACCTGAAGAGACAAAGAAGAAAGAAGAAAATTCACATGATTATGTAGCAAACTAAGGGCGCGTTCATGCTTGATTTTGAAGGTAGAATGAGCCATTTGTAACGCTCATCGTAAACGCTCATCGTAATCGCAGTTCCACGGTGTACTGTTCATGCTCACTTCTCCAGGCAATTCTCCCTTGGTGGCCTTAATTGGCCTAGCAGCTGGATTCGCAACCTTGAAATGCGCATGCTATGTAGACCATGGTCAATGCGTAGACCCACTAGAGGTCAGTGCGTTGACCCCATTTAAACGCGTTTACAAATTGTAAACGCATCTTTTTGTGAGTTTACGATCGGCGATCGTGATCGCCGTTTTTCGGTGATTCTACAAAAGTAAGCATGAACGCAACAGTGTTTTAAACTAAACGCGTAACAGATGCCTGATTCTGGCCAGAAAAAGTGCCTTGATTCCTGCAAGTGGAGGGAAAAGTATCACAAAACTCATCACCTGTGATAATGACCTTCAACATATAATAACTCACTGACAAATGACGTCATGGTATACTCTTGCCTCTCGAAAATGGCTCTAGTAACAATGAATTGACTGTAATCCACCTACTCCAAATGGATACTGTGTCATACCTGATTTGTTTGCTGTTGTTGTTGTCATTGCTTGCTTTGTTTGTTCTTTTTAATTTAATTTAGGTATGCTCTGTGTTATATGTAATTGTATAGTGGAACCTAAAACTCTATCTTGCCACATATGTTGTTCTCAATCTGATAGCTTTTACAAAAAATCAAAATGTCTTTTGAAGTACTGTATGTACCTCTGTAGAAAAGGATCTCTGCAATTGTCCTTTTCCATCTTGTTTTCATAACATATTTGCCTTTAATAATACTGATGATATCGCATTTGAACATCTTTTTAAAAGGAATGTCAATACTTACCCATACCAACTTTTAAATAATCTCCAAAACATTGAAGATGTTTACTCTGATGACATGGATCATAATCTTGATGTCTTGGACTGTAAATATTATTTAGATGATGATTTCTTAACAAAAGCACTTGAATTCAAAGAAAATTTTAGTATTATTCACTTCAATTCTCGAAGCTTGTCTAAAAACTTTGATGCAATATCCGATTTTATATTTTCTCTTAATTTCGATTTCTCCATCTATGGCTTTTCAGAGACTTGGATCCATGAAAACACACCACATACTTTTAACCTACCTGGATATTCGTTTATACATAATGATCGCAAACATGCTAGAGGAGGTGGTGTGGGTTTGTTAATTTCTGATCTTTTGGATTTTGTTATTAGACATGATATCTTAGAATGTTCTGAATATTATGAGTCTTTATTTATAGAAATTGTTATTCCTAGAGGGAAAAATATTATTGTCGGTGTTATTTATAGAAAACCTCAATCAAAAGTTATGGATTTCAATAAACACCTTCAGTCTTGTTTAGAAAAATTGAATATCGAACATAAACATGTATATATAATGGGAGATCTTAATATTAATCTACTGAATCATGATAATGCTTCTGTGAATGAATTTTTGAGTGCAATACATTTGAATAGCTTTGTGCCCTTAATTGATAAGCCAACGCGTGTTACAGAGACATCCTCATCTTTAATTGATAATATTCTTACTAATAACTATGGATCAAATGTGCTTTCTGGCTTATTTTACAATGATATTACAGATCATTTCCCAGTTTTTCAAATAACCCACTTTAAATTTCATGCACAATGTACTCCTACTCGTAAATTTCGTCGTATAAATGAAAGTACTATTAGAGCTTTTGAAGAAAAGGTGTATAATGTTGATTGGAGTGATGTATTTAACTGTACAGATACTGATGAAGTTTATAATATGTTTATAGATATGTTATCCAAAGTTTACGATGATGTATTTGTAATGGGAGACAGTAAGACCACAAGAAAAATTATTAAAAAGCCATGGATAACTGTAAGCATATTAAAAAAGATAAGATTAAAAAATAAATTGTTTAAGAAGTATAGGAAAAATTGTACTGATGACAATAAGAAAAGATATGTCAAGGTCAGGAATAATGTTACTAAAATATTACGTTGTGCACGCATAAACTATTATAAACTTAAATTTCAGCTCTTTAAAGGAAATATGAAAAAAACATGGAATATGATAAATGAATTACTTGGAAAATGTAAGAAGAATTTACCATCATATGTTACTATAAATGGAATAGATGTACATGATGAAAAGGATATTGCTAATAACTTTAATACATATTTTGTAAATATAGGAGCCTCTATGGCTAATTCTATACAACAAGATGATAACTTTGTTGATTTTTTATCTGGAAGATGTAACAACACCATATTTTTAAAACCTGTTAAAGAAACTGAAATATTGGAAATTACTAAAAATATGAACTCATCAAGTAGTAGTGGCATTGATGACATTAGTCCCCTTGTTGTGAAAAAAATTATTTATGGTATTGTGAAGCCTTTATGCTTCATTTACAACCTATCATTCTCATCTGGAATAGTACCCTTGAAATTAAAAACAGCAAAAGTTACACCTGTCTACAAAAAAAAAGATATCCATGATATTTCAAATTATAGACCAATATCTGTTCTTCCCGTCTTTTCTAAGATATTAGAAAGGCTGGCTTATAATAGGATTTTTGATTTTTTGTATAAAAATACTATATTAAATGAATTTCAATATGGTTTTATGAAAAATGTTTCTACTGAAATGGCACTTATTGACTTACATGATTATGTTGTTAATTCTTTTGCAAATAAATTATATACAGTTGGTGTTTTTCTCGACCTGAGTAAGGCATTCGATTCAATTGATTACTCAATATTGTTACATAAATTAAGTTATTACGGTATTAGAGGACTACCTTATTCATGGTTTAAAAGTTATTTACATAATCGAACTCAAGTTGTGTCTTACAACAATGTCATTTCAGATTCTTCTAATATTTCATTTGGTGTTCCTCAAGGATCGATTCTAGGTCCTTTGTTATTTCTATTGTTTATCAACGACCTCCCAAATTGTTCTAAAATATTAAAATTTATATTGTTTGCTGATGACACCAATATCTTATACTCAACAGATGATCATTTATCATTGTCAACTAATTTAAATAACGAACTACTAAAGGTCTCTAAATGGTTTAATGCCAATAAACTTACATTAAATATAGATAAATCAAATTATATGTTATTTTATACTGTGAAACAGAAACAAAAGTATAGTACTTTGCAAAACTTAGTTGTGAAACTCAATAATTCATCAATTGAACGTGTATATTGTACAAAATTTCTGGGTGTTTACATTGATCATGATTTATCATGGAAGACTCACATCTCTTATGTCAGAAAGAAGTTATCACAGAATATCGGTGTCATCAGCAAATTATGCCATATCCTACCAAAATGCATTCTTATAACATTGTATAATACTTTAGTCCTGCCCTACTTATCATACTCTAATGTTGTATGGGCTAATACATATTCTTCCAAATTGGAAGCCATTTTTATATTACAAAAGAGATTTGTTAGAATTGCCTCATCATCTTCATACTTGGCACATACTAAACCCTTATTCATAAAGTTAAGCATACTGAACATTTATAAATTAAATAATTATTTTAATGCAATACTACTTTTTAAACACAAGCTTGGTTTATTACCCAATAATTTATGCATTATGTTAACTTTAAACTGTTCAGTTCATAATTATAATACTCGAAACAAAATGAATTATTATTTATCTGCTATTACAAAACAATATGAATTACACTCTTTTAGACACAAAGCTCCTTCTGTATGGAATTCCTTACCGTCAGACATTACTTCTATTAATAGCCTGAACTCATTTAAAAGAAAGCTTAAATTATATCTTATTTCTAATAATCTTACATCATAAAAACACTCAATTACTCCACAATGCAAATTTGTTTAGGGTTGTGCGGTCTACATGTATGTTTTTGTTTTTGCTTATGTTCTACTTTGATTTGTTTTGTTTTGTTATTTTTTGTTATTGTTTATTCAAATACCATATATCATTTGTATGATTCCTATACTGTTTTTTTTTTTTTTTCAGGTGGCTGTCCAGACAAACCCTCTAGGGTTTTTATACAGCAACCTAATTCCTATTTGTTTGTTTTTACTGTCAATATTGTACTATGTTAATCATATTTATGTAAAAGTAATATTTTGATGTCACCGTTTTTGTTTTTTTACTATGGAATTAAATAAATACTGAACTGAACTGAACTGAGCATGAACGCGCCCTAAGTCACCTGTGGTGTTACATCTAGGGACCATTGGTTCACATGACCCTAAAATCTAATCAGTTCATTGGCTTGGCAAGATACATACCCTATTTGCCGGTGTAAAGGCCGCAGTATTTTTGGAAGAGAAAATATCAAAAAGTCGGGGTGCGGCCTATGCGGCGAAAGAGTTAAAAAAAAAATTTAAAAAAAAAAAAAAAGTCAAAACCAGCACGAATTTGCACATGTGGGACTAGATCTACGAACGGTACAATAACTATACATTTCCACACATCTTACCGACAATTTTATCTTGCATTGTTGACAATGACGAAAATAAACTTCCAAAAACAACATCTGCCGATAGATCTTGATCTAAGTTCGTGCCAATGCATTGCAAAAGTAAAAGAAGGACCCGTTTAACGGAGCTGCTGCGAAGCATCTAGCACGCGAAGTCGCTATTTTGAATCCATTTCAATACACAAAAGAGAGGTGCATCACAGAAAACTCCATATGCTAGCATCAGTGCGGCATGGCCGAGCGGTCTAAGGAGCTGATTTCAGTCACATCAACATTTGAACGCAAGAGATCAAATCCCGACTTCGACAATTTTTTTTCTTTCTTTTTTTTTTCTTTTTCCGAGCGGTCTTAGGCGGTGATTTTAGTCACATCAACATTTGTACGAAAGAGATCAAATCCCGACTTCCACAATTTTTTTTTTTTAAATGTCAAAATCGGGGGTGCGGCCTATATGGCGCTGTGGCCTATACGGCGCTTTTATCGCCGGGAAATACGGTACATGTCTTGAGTTTAATGGTAATCCGTCCATCGGTTCTAATGATAATGCAATCACAAGCTGTTTTTGCATACATAATGAGCACTGTGACCTTTGACCTCGTGACCCCTAAATCTAATCAATTCATCGGCTCTGCAAGATACATACATGACCTAAGTTTGGCAGGAATCCATCAATTGGTTCTTGAGATAACGCGATCACGAGAACGGGACGTACGGATGTACGTACATACATACGGATAGACGGACGGACAACCCGAATACATAATGCCTAAGGCTACCTCGTAATGGAGGCATAAAAATAGTAGTGCTATCCATTTGCATGCTTGTCACATAAAATCATTCACATGTATATACAACATAGGCCCTTCATATGAAACATGCTTTTATTTTGTGACTTGCTTGCATTTGTACACAAAAAGTTCTGCACCTCAAGTTCGATTTATCAAATAAAACACAGGCATTTCAGAATAAACATATTTTACAGGATGGCATGTCAATTAATAATAATAATAATAGCTTGTCCTTATATAGCGCATTTCAGGACCGCAGGCCCTCTCAATGCGCTTTACAGATATATATATTATTACCCCGGTCATCGGATTCATGCTTACCCGCACACAAGGTATGCACATTCTCCACTTCCTGGAGTATTCCAGCCAGTCGCCATTTCACAAGCGCCACTTGTTAATCAAACCACATGAGCTTTCGCATCCTACCGCTAACCCATTTAACACCTGGGTGGAGAGTGGCAAATGTAGATCAATGTCTTGCCAAAGGACATTAGTGCTGCGGTGGGACTTGAACCGCGGACCTTGTGATTCACCGTCCGGTGACATATCCACTCGACCACGACTCTTCTACTTAACTGTCTAAAAGGTATCCCAACTGCACAGGATTGACATAATCATAGTCCACAAAGAGCCATTGTTTTTAACTTCTTATCTTGATATACTGTAACTTTGCCAGTAAATGACTAATGCAATACCAGTACAAAGAATGATTAAATGGCTAAACGTTTGTCAACATTGCATAGTATTTAAAACCATTACAGTGACATTAAGGTAACATTATCAGAGTATGATGACATAAGCATAGCCTACAAAGAGCCATTGTTTTCAGCTTCCTATCTAAGAATTGGTATCTAAGCTATGAATTAGTGTCATCAAACAGCTACTAACACAACACTAGCATGGTGGCTCAGTGGTTAGAGCGCCCGCCTCATGAACGGGAGGTCGTGGGTTCGATCCCCGGCCGAGTCATACCAAAGACTTATAACAATGGGACCTTCTGCCTTCTAGCTAGGCGCTCAGCATATTAGATTGGAGAAGGGTAGTAATAACATATTTTGTTATGCAGGGCCCGCTGGAAGAACAGTTTCATAATTGAAGTGGCTACCCTGGGTAAATAAAACATCATTATTATTATTATCCTCACATCTGCGATTCGCTCACCTGTAAACGGATCAACAAAGTCCGGCCTCGGTGCCGACGACTCGATGGTCACGCCCTTTGTGTTCTTGATGATGAAATTGGCAACTGTCTCGAGGTAGTACTGGCTGAGGTCATTGTCGTGGATGAACTTTTGGGCTGCAAGCCAGGGGTCATCGGAAGCGTTATAGGGTAGCTTGAGATTTGGACGCCCTTCTTCAAGGTCAACGTCAAAGACGTAGTCATATTCCTGGTGGAGAGGTATGCATAATTTTCAGAGAGAGAGAGCGAGAGAGGGAGAGAGAGAGAGAGAGGAGAGAGAAGAGAGAGGGAGAGAGAGAGGAGAGAGAGCGAGAGAGAGATAAAGAGAGACGGGGAGAGAGGGAGACAGAGAGAAAGAGAGAGAGAGAGAGAAAGAGAAGACTGAACACATTTTGAAGGGGCTATTTTAAATGTTGATTTAACATCTTTTTGCCTTGTTTCTTATTTTACCAAAAAATACTGTACCTTTGCCAACAATGACCAATGCAATACCAGTACAAGGAATAATTTAGTGGCTAAAAGTTTGTCGGCATTGTATAGTATTTTTACACTTACAGTGACGTTAAAGGCATCCTTTAACAATGTTAAATCTGAGATGCACGGCCCTACCTGTCTTCAGTGTCTGTGATATGGTGAAATATTGAAGCCTAACAAAATTGCGCTTCAATATGATCAAGAAGTGCCTCAAAAAAGTAAAAATCTTTGAGTGACTGGTTTTACCATACTCGTTTTCCCCAATAGAGTAAACTCTGGTAACCTCTGGTTCATAACTTTACAAACCAGAGCAAAAGAACACTGAGCTCCTATAGGAAATCTTTTTATTCAGATGTTCATATGTCAGCCAATACTTAACATATTCAATTGGTTTTCGACATTTGGACATTATTTTTGATGCTCTTTCGAAAAATGAAGAAAAAATTGAGACATCACACTGCACCACTCTATAGACTGTAGTGTTATGAAAACCGTTAGGCAAACGCAAAATTTGGTTTCGATTTCCAATCATAAATATCTTGATAATCAGACAGGCGATCGGCTTGTAAATTTATGGGGTTCCTGACTGACTTTATAATATATAATATAAGGTTTATAATTATCATTGCAGCATGAGCTAAATCCAGGATTTTGTTTCAGAATCTGAGACAAAGTCACCAGATCCCTTTAATTTACCATTAATTTCATGATTTCATGAGAACTTTTCCATCTTAATTTTTTCAAATTTTTATTCATTGATAAGCATGAATTTTACATTACCAGTATATGACCACCAAGTCTTGAGCCCCAAACACTCGCATGGTAACACTATCACAATTACAATTCATTTTGTACTCTGACAAGATATTCATCTTTTGACCTTGACCCTTGACCTTACCTTGCCCTCGTAATGAACCTTGCCTGAGGATGGGGTCACATCATCTCCCTCCGACCCGACGACATCCCCTATCTTGGACCACTTGCTTTCAGCCATGTTCCACTGGTAGGCCTCCACTGTTTTCCCGTTTCGGATCAGTTTGGTCTGGCCCTCTTTGGTGCCTACATGTAGAGTTGAGAACATTTCCAGAAAATGACATAACATGATCTGATAGATCTGGGGGGTGTTTCACAAAGATCCTAAGTTGAACTTATCTCTAAGTTGGACTTAAATATTTTGGATCTTTGTGAAACACCCCCCAGGAATCAAAATGAGTAAATATATCGAGTGAAACCTAATGTAGCAATCACCGGCATAGAGAGACCACATGTCTATAAAGACCACATATCGCATTTCCCTTGACAATTGTTTTTCATTGAAACCTTTATACAAGGAACCTGTACCTTAAGATCACATGCCTTTTTGTCTCCCTTGAGTGGTCTTTAAATACAGGTTCCACTGTACCTATTGTATGATTTGAGTTCAACCTTTAGTGCAATGAAACAAGGTATTGCCATCTTAAACTTGGTTTCTATGAAGTGCGTTGAAGGACCTTCAATGCACTTTGGTTACTGTCCTTCATGCAGCAGTTCTGTACTTAAAGATAAAGACCAGTTATGGTCATGCGATTGCATTGTTAAAGAAAGGTTGTGGAATCGATCAGAAAAGGGTGATCATCTAGCATATACGTATTGGTGTGTACTGCAAGGTTATGGAATCATCAAAATGATAAGAAATTTGACCCAGTCTTAGTATAGTTACAAGCACTGTACACAGAAAGATGTATATGGGACTACGCGAAACATGCGCGATATTTATCAGGTGCAAATAGATATAATATATTACCAAATATATCAATTAGTAGGCGGTTTCTTGGCAAAGTTTGGATCATTACGTATTAGTCAAAACATATTCTTTCACATGATTGGTAATAAGAGCTTCCATTTCATTTTTTGAGAGGGGGGGCGTTTCCAAAACTGGTCTATACCTTTATAAGGTTGAGTTCTGGGAAGAGGTGAAAAATAATTTGTAAGCGTTATCATTGTATTATGCAAGTGTGGAAGAACATCAGATAAAAAAAAATGTTCCCTGAAAAGCATGACTCTTCAAATGCCTTAATATTCAAAATATGGCATGTAACATCATACAAATCGGGACAGATTTTATGCCACATTTTCGAGTATAGTCCCATATACATCTTTCTGTGTATAAAACTTGTAACTTTACGAAGACTGGGCCAAATTTCTAATCAATTTGATGATTTCAGAACCTTGCAGTACACACCGATACTTATATGCTAGATGATCAACCTTTTCTGATCGATTCCACAACGTTTCTTTCACAATGCAATCGCATGACCAGAACTGGTCTATACCTTTAACACTGTACATGTCAGATAATTACAAGAAGAAAAAGAAAGGGGAATTCATTTTCAAAATCACTTTGATTTGAAATTAAAGTCATCCTTTTTCTCCGACAAGGAAATCTGTACCTTGGTTTGCGAGGTCCGATTTATCAGGTAGATCCTCCATCTTGATACCATCAAAGGTCTGTGTCTTGGCGGGCATGGCGAAGGCTCCTACTTGATTCTCAAAGGCCTGTTGGGAATCCTGAGGGGCAACGCGAGACTCCTCTCGTGTGAAGATTCTGGCCATACCATCACTGTATCATGATGAAAACAGAGTAATTAACTAAGGCGGATAACATTGAAGCACATCGTATGGAATTGATTAAGAAAAGGCAACTACTATTAGTAGTGTTTTTAAATCCCCCTTTGGCTCCTGAAATTAATAAGAGCCTTTGTATCATAATGTTTCAGCAACTTGTGATTCCAGCATTATGACCATCTACTTTATCATCACTATCTCAATCGTTAGTATCATTATCACCATCATCATCATCATCCTCCTCGTCAACGGCATTATCAGCATCATCATCATTATCATCCTCATTCCAATCCTCCTCGTCATAATCATCACCACGACACCTTACCCACTACCAGTACCTTTATCCCTGAATACTATCATACATACCTACCAACATTTGAAAATAAGAATTAAGAATTTTTAGCACAGTATGCCTTTGAAAATAAGAAATCGCACTTGCAGCGGCAGTATAACTGGCAATACGCGGTAAATCTGTACCAAAAAGCGAGTACAAATCTATCATGCAGCCATTCAACGCACGCCATACGTGATCTCTCAAATCGTTACACATTATAAAACAAGCTTAATTTGGCTTTAGCACCACACAAACAAAAGTCGAAATTTTGAAAAATCTGAATATTCCAAATTTTCAGCTCCTAAAAATCCAGAAAATCAGAATATTCCGGATTATTCGTAAGGGTTGGCAGCTATGTATCATATCAACTACCATCATCATCCTCATCAACCTTTCCCTCCCTCCCTAGCATTCCTAACTACTCACCTGGACCCCACCAGAATGTCTCCATTAGGCAAGCAGGCCACACTCCAGATGGTCTGAGCAGGCATGGTGATAGTCTGGCTGCATTGACCGTCAGTCAGAATACTATCATATCAACTACCATCATCACCCTCATCAACCTCTCCCTCCCTCCTTAGCTTTCCTGCCTACTCACCTGGACCCCACAAGAATGTCTCCATTAGGCAAGCAGGCCACACTCCAGAAGGTCTGAGCAGGCATGGTGATAGTCTAGCTGCATTGACCCTCAGTCAGAATACTATCATATCAACTACCATCATCACCCTCATTAACCTCTCCCTCCCTCCCTAGCTTTCCTGCCTACTCACCTGGACCCTACATGAATGTCTCCATTAGGCAAGCAGGCCACACTCCAGATGGTCTGAGCAGACATGGTGATAGTCTGGCTACATTGACCGTCAGTCAGAATACTATCATATCAACTACCATCATCACCCTCATCAACCTCTCCCTCCCTAGCTTTCCTGCCTACTCACCTGGACCCTACAAGAATGTCTCCATTGGTCAAGCAGGCCACACTCCAGATGGTCTGAGCAGGGATGGTGATAGTCTGGCTACATTGACCGTCAGTCAGAATACTATCATATCAACTACCATCATCACCCTCATCAACCTCTCCCTCCCTCCCTAGCTTTCCTGCCTACTCACCTGGACCCTACAAGAATGTCTCCATTGGTCAAGCAGGCCACACTCCAGATGGTCTGAGCAGGCATGGTGATAGTCTGGCTGCATTGCCCGTCAGTCAGAATAGTATCATATCAACTACCATCATCAACCTTTCCCTCCCTCCCTAGCTTTCCTGCCTACTCACCTGGACCCTACAAGAATGTCTCCATTGGTCAAGCAGGCCACACTCCAGATGGTCTGAGCAGGCATGGTGATAGTCTGGCTGCATTGACCGTCAGTCAGAATACTATCATATCAACTACCATCATCACCCTCATCAACCTCTCCCTCCCTCCTTAGCTTTCCTGCCTACTCACCTGGACCCCACAAGAATGTCTCCATTAGGCAAGCAGGCCACACTCCAGAAGGTCTGAGCAGGCATGGTGATAGTCTGGCTGCATTGACCGTCAGTCAGAATACTATCATATCAACTACCATCATCACCCTCATCAACCTCTCCCTCCCTAGCTTTCCTGCCTACTCACCTGGACCCTACAAGAATGTCTCCATTGGTCAAGCAGGCCACACTCCAGATGGTCTGAGCAGGGATGGTGATAGTCTGGCTGCATTGACCGTCAGTCAGAATACTATCATATCAACTACCATCATCACCCTCATCAACCTCTCCCTCCCTCCCTAGCTTTCCTGCCTACTCACCTGGACCCTACAAGAATGTCTCCATTGGTCAAGCAGGCCACACTCCAGATGGTCTGAGCAGGCATGGTGATAGTCTGGCTGCATTGACCGTCAGTCAGAATACTATCATATCAACTACCATCATCACCCTCATCAACCTCTCCCTCCCTCCTTAGCTTTCCTGCCTACTCACCTGGACCCCACAAGAATGTCTCCATTAGGCAAGCAGGCCACACTCCAGAAGGTCTGAGCAGGCATGGTGATAGTCTGGCTGCATTGACCGTCAGTCAGAATACTATCATATCAACTACCATCATCACCCTCATCAACCTCTCCCTCCCTAGCTTTCCTGCCTACTCACCTGGACCCTACAAGAATGTCTCCATTGGTCAAGCAGGCCACACTCCAGATGGTCTGAGCAGGGATGGTGATAGTCTGGCTGCATTGACCGTCAGTCAGAATACTATCATATCAACTACCATCATCACCCTCATCAACCTCTCCCTCCCTCCCTAGCTTTCCTGCCTACTCACCTGGACCCCACAAGAATGTCTCCATTAGGCAAGCAGGCCACACTCCAGAAGGTCTGAGCAGGCATGGTGATAGTCTGGCTGCATTGACCGTCAGTCAGAATACTATCATATCAACTACCATCATCACCCTCATCAACCTCTCCCTCCCTAGCTTTCCTGCCTACTCACCTGGACCCTACAAGAATGTCTCCATTGGTCAAGCAGGCCACACTCCAGATGGTCTGAGCAGGCATGGTGATAGTCTGGCTGCATTGCCCGTCAGTCAGAATACTATCATATCAACTACCATCATCAACCTTTCCCTCCCTCCCTAGCTTTCCTGCCTACTCACCTGGACCCTACAAGAATGTCTCCATTGGTCAAGCAGGCCACACTCCAGATGGTCTGAGCAGGCATGGTGATAGTCTGGCTGCATTGACCGTCAGTCAGAATACTATCATATCAACTACCATCATCACCCTCATCAACCTCTCCCTCCCTCCTTAGCTTTCCTGCCTACTCACCTGGACCCCACAAGAATGTCTCCATTAGGCAAGCAGGCCACACTCCAGAAGGTCTGAGCAGGCATGGTGATAGTCTGGCTGCATTGACCGTCAGTCAGAATACTATCATATCAACTACCATCATCACCCTCATCAACCTCTCCCTCCCTAGCTTTCCTGCCTACTCACCTGGACCCTACAAGAATGTCTCCATTGGTCAAGCAGGCCACACTCCAGATGGTCTGAGCAGGGATGGTGATAGTCTGGCTGCATTGACCGTCAGTCAGAATACTATCATATCAACTACCATCATCACCCTCATCAACCTCTCCCTCCCTCCCTAGCTTTCCTGCCTACTCACCTGGACCCTACAAGAATGTCTCCATTGGTCAAGCAGGCCACACTCCAGATGGTCTGAGCAGGCATGGTGATAGTCTGGCTGCATTGCCCGTCAGTCAGAATACTATCATATCAACTACCATCATCAACCTTTCCCTCCCTCCCTAGCTTTCCTGCCTACTCACCTGGACCCTACAAGAATGTCTCCATTGGTCAAGTAGGCCACACTCCAGATGGTCTGAGCAGGCATGGTGATAGTCTGGCTGCATTGACCGTCAGTCAGAATACTATCATATCAACTACCATCATCACCCTCATCAACCTCTCCCTCCCTCCTTAGCTTTCCTGCCTACTCACCTGGACCCCACAAGAATGTCTCCATTAGGCAAGCAGGCCACACTCCAGAAGGTCTGAGCAGGCATGGTGATAGTCTGGCTGCATTGACCGTCAGTCAGAATACTATCATATCAACTACCATCATCACCCTCATCAACCTCTCCCTCCCTAGCTTTCCTGCCTACTCACCTGGACCCTACAAGAATGTCTCCATTGGTCAAGCAGGCCACACTCCAGATGGTCTGAGCAGGCATGGTGATAGTCTGGCTGCATTGACCGTCAGTCAGAATACTATCATATCAACTACCATCATCACCCTCATCAACCTCTCCCTCCCTCCCTAGCTTTCCTGCCTACTCACCTGGACCCTACAAGAATGTCTCCATTGGTCAAGCAGGCCACACTCCAGATGGTCTGAGCAGGCATGGTGATGGTCTGGCTGCATTGACCGTCAGTCCACACTCTCACCGTCCTGTCCTCGCTGGAGGTCACAAAGTCCTGTCCGTTGCCTAGCAGCGAGATGCTGTAGATGAAACCCACGTGGCCGTCGTACTGGTGGACGCAATCCCCAGTGGTCAGCCACCTTCGGACTGTGCCGTCGTTGCTGGCTGAGAGGAACTCCACCTCGGAGAGGACGGCCAGTGCTCTGACGCAGTCGGTATGACCTAGGAGTAACCAGACACACAGCAATTCAATTTCAATTAGTGATCTTCTTCTCCACAGGAGCTTTCCCTTTACATGGTAAATTTCTAAAATTGCACATGCTTGCTAAATGCATGGATACCCAATCTAATGCTGACATTTCAAGTTGTCTCTTTTCTATTCTGTGTCAATCATGAAAAAGAACAAATTGATTCTGAAATAGTGATGAACATAACAATTTAAATCAAATATACATGTATGTGAGAGATAATTTAAAGAATGTTGTGGCTATACATGCGATCATAAATTTAGGCCTACCATGTTCACTGAAAAGTTTACTTAATGTAAATTTGTCCCTGAATGATAGGATCTTCATATGGAACGTATAAAAGGTTTGATCTACATGTATGTGTAATTACTTAATCCCACACACAGGGTGTGGGTTTTCTTACCAGTGAAATTGCGTTCACATCGGCCAGCCCTCCACATCTTGATAGTCTTGTCCGCAGACCCAGTCAGCATCAGTCCCTGGGTGGGCAAGAGGGCGACCGCCCACACAGTAGCTTCGTGACCCTGTAAGGTCATCACATTCTTTTCATTTAGCCACACCTTGGCTGTCGTATCCCATGATCCACTCAACAGAGTTCCAAATTTACCAGATGCAAGGGCACACACTGGAACAAACAAGTGTGTGAAAAGAAACAGTTTTGACAAGATATAAAAGAGAGATGGCAAACTATCATACTTACACGGAATGAAAGATCTTGAAACTAATTGGCATGAAGCTAGTATACATGTACATATATTTGCATGCATAGAATCAACTAAAGACAAACTTTTATGTGCAACTTTAGGTTTATATACAGTTAAGAATGTGAATAACAATCATTTAAAAAAAAAAATCTTCAAAAACTCAAGCACAGAACACAGGTTAGATAATGGTTCCTAGCTTCCATGCCCTTTCCTCAAAATGCACTCAGCTATTAAAGACGCGATTCTCAAACCATTTGATCCATGATCTGGTGATTTATGCCCCAGATGATGACCCACATTTACAGATTAACTAATCCTGACAGGGAAAAAATACACGGGGCTCAGGGCAAAAGAGCCCCCGAAATGCCAAAAAGAGCCCCCGAAAGTCATAAAAGAGCCCCCAAAATTTGCATAGAGTTCAAATTAAAGAGTGTTATTTTCACGCAAGCAAGCTTGAAAAGTAGTCCCCAAAATTTTTAAATATTTTTTCCCTGAATCTTGAGAAACTCACCAGCATTTTTGTGCCCCGTGAGCACATAGACAGGAAGGGGACTCTCCAGTGTGTATGCATGGATCTTGTAGTCGTTGCTCCCGGTAAGGATGAGGCCCTGAGCATACTTCTCATTCGGCGGTAGCACGCATAAGCAGGAGACAAAGTTCTGATGACCACTCATACAGTGTGCCTCCTGATACCCAGGCTCAGAATCACTGTGATATAAAAAGAAATGAAGGAAAACCGAGGAATAACTCAAGAGAGTGACGCTGCACATCAGACATAGTATCTTGGTGGTTGTAATGTTTACTGCCTCAGATCAGGCATAGATCTACATTAAGGAGGGCTTAATCCTTAATTGGGGCTAGACTCCTTTTTGACTCTTTGCACCCTCCCCTAAAGTTGAAAAAAGAAAGTTTTATAATACATGTAATAATGTAGCTAATAGCTAAAATATATATTATGTGGTCGTACTAAGTGCCAGAATCTACCAGCACTACCGAAAAAGAGAGAAAGAGAAGAAAGGAAGAGTTCACTAGCAAACTCTGAGGCCCGAATTCACAAATGAGGTTTGTCGAAAACCTCCTTTTGTTTCGACAAACCTCCTTTTGTTTTTTACAAACCAAGGTTTGTAAAAACGCGTCGAAACGCATCGTATGATGCACTTAAACCTTGGTTTGTCGACAAACCTCCTTTGTGAATTCGTGCCTCTAAGGTTGTTAGCAAGCTAGGTTAATTGGGTGCATTAAGGCTAGTTGATATCAAATTATCAATATCATATTTCATGTTATCAGCTTACCCTTTAAGAGGAAGTCTACTCTCATATTAAGTCAGTTTTAATAGGAGCAGAAAATAAGAGGAACAGGTCGGTGAAAGGTTGAGCAAATTTTGATTAAAAAATAAGAAAGTTATGAATCAAACACAAACTAGCAACTCTGTGGCGTATCTTGCTAGCTCCTCTCCAATTTGCTCTGTGCTCAAAATGTATTAAGAAACTTTCATTTTCTTCGTTATTGATGACGGAATAGATTTTTTCCATACAGGGGTTGAATAGACATATTTGCAATAATTATATTTAGGGTGCATGTAGTGTATGATCTTTAAAAATCTAGAGGGGAAAATTAAAATTTCAGATTTTTTTGTTGCAGAACAAATGGGAGTGGGAGCTCCCAAAATACGTCATAGAGTTGACAAAAAGCCAATTTGTCTTTGATTGATCTAAACTTCAAAGATTCATAACTTTCTTATTTCTAATGAAAATTTGCTAAATTTTTCACTGGCCTATATTGACTATTCCTCTCATTTTTCTGCTTCCTTAAAAACCAACTTAAAAGTATAAGGTGGACTTCCTCTTTAGTGCTAGTTAGCCTGCACATGGTTGTGTGTAGAGTCTATAGGATGGGGGAAAAGGGGACCAATGCAATGAAGGTCTACCAGTAGGGGCGCTGGTCCGAGAATGAGAATTTCACATAAACGAGGATAAGCGCGGACAAATTGCGTCCTAAAAAATAAGGATCGTCTGCATTTTCGCGGACGTTTTTTTTTTTTTTGGTGCTCTTTGGGTTTTGCAATGCGAAAACGGATTCCACGTAAGAAAATAACCCCAGTTTACTGTCTACTTGACACGAAACAGGTAACAAACATATCAAATTTTAAATCATGACCTTCATTTGGACATTTGATGAATATTTACTCGATTTTGGGTATGTTTTACTTTTAGTAAGCCGGAGTTACGGGTCAAATTATGGATAGACTTGTGAGCTAGCGCCTCCTTATTTTTGCGGACGCGTCTGTCCGCATTTACGAAGACGATCCTCGTTTAACTACTGTGCAGAGCGAATGGGGATTTCCTACTTTGTGATTCAATTTCGATTCAATTTCAAGACAAAGTCAATGCCAAACAATTTCATAGAAACACTGCGTAAAACGAAATTTAAATTTCACATAATTCTTTACAACATGTTAAAAGTTAAACCCGGACATCTTCCTGTAAGCATCATCTCATACATGGCTAGACTCTAGTCTTTGTTCAAAATTCCAGAGCAGTTGGCAATGACTCACTTTCATGTCACCGACTCAAATTTATTTTGATCAATCAGCTCAGTGCAGTGCAGTGCACTGTTTTAAGTTTTAACTTAGATTCTTGGTCTAGATTATCTACTATTTTTTTTACCTTGAAGGAACCCATAGTCGTGCAGTCCTATCTCTGGACGCGGTAATGATTGATCCTTCTGGGAATAAACCAGCAGCAACCGCTCGAACATCAGATTCGTGTCCAGTAAGTGAGCATGAGAGCTTGAAAGGAACTGCCATGTTGATTTTTAGCAACTCATTCACAAAATTGTGTAGGTTAGTTAGACACCTAGGTACGGTCTATTCATTCATTCACATTTTCGATCTTTGCACTGCTAGATTTTTGGCATACCGCCATCTCTTGATGACATGTAGGTAGGTAATTGTTATGGTAAGCCAAGCGGTGTATTATGTCTGCAGCATAATGCATTGCATTTATTGCATTGGCCTTGGTACCGCATAAACACTGCCAGTTTCCGCGGCCACACTGAAAAACTCACCGAGCACTTCGTATTAACTATTATGGGATGATTTAATTTGCCATTTGACCAGAAACAAAATTCAACTCCTGGTATGTAGCCACAACTCTTGCACTTTATATTAAGAACTTTTGATTTATTATAATCCCCCAAAACACCTGTTGATTGACTGTGTGTGTCGCCTGTCGCGTCGCCTCTCGGCCTCGGCGCGGTGGTCATCTGACCTGAGTCTGAGACATGACTTTTGAGTTTGAATGTTCAAGGATGCTGTTTTGCATGTTAGACTTTGAGAATGAATGTGTGGTGATGGTGGTTAAGAGTAAGACTTAAGGACTGAAGTTGTGGAACTTGAAAGCATGATCATGATGATCACAGAAACAGTTTGGTGAAAAACTGAAAGTTTGAACAGAAATGTTGATACTTGATTGATATAGGGAGTAACGGTACAGAGGTATGAAGGGGTGACCAAAGAGATATTCGATCTATGATTTCTCATATTCTTCACAAATTTATTTATTTCAATTAGGTCTATTACCAGATGGACGACAAAGTTTTTTTTACTACAGATTGGTTCAACTAGAAACTTTATCATCAAAGGATTTCAGAGATATCGCGATCTAAAAAGTACATTCGATGTCCGATCGTAAAAAAGTCTTAAAAATAACAAGACCTAACCTCACGCACGGGGGTTACAATTGATATCAAAAAATGTGATCCATCAAAAATAAGGTAATATCATAATTTGCAAGGGAAGATCGATATCATACAATCACTGAATCAGTTTGTACCACTTTTTACCTACAATTTTGAGGAAATCTGCTCTCAAATTGAAGTTTTTCAGACCCTTATCGCCTCTGCCACCATGCTGTGAATTGTGACACTAGCCTAGTGTACGTACTCTCGTATCCATTTTTTGTACCCCTAACTCCGGTGTGGGGATACCCTACTAAAACATACCCCAAAATCAACTACGTATGTAAATCTTCATCAATTGTTTAATTTGGTCATAATTTAAATGTTATGTTTTTTTTACCCCTTTCGTGTCAATTTCTTATTTTTTTTTGGGTATTTTTCTCAAAAACAAAGACATTATAATGTACAATTACAATACAATTGCATACTGTACCAACGAAGGGGTGCGGGCGCGTGCGTGAAGTTAGCGACTGTAATCTCAGATCCTTGTTATATTCATGTACATGTAAGTAATTCATATTATGACGATGATAATCATTATTACGATCGCTAACTTCATGCAAGTGCACCTGTAATAATAATAATATGTGTCCGACACTTAACAAACATAAAGCCTTCTCTTTTGCCTTTGGATTTAATGCAAAAGTTTCATCAAAAAGCACTACCGGTAACCATCATGAATATTTGTCTTTTCTATACTGTCCAACATTCAAAAGATTCAAAAGTTTTAAAAGATTTATGAAATATTGCTTTTAAACTTCTTTAAATTGCTGATGTACTGTACATGTAAATCAACTGGATACACAACTTGTCCACACACACATACGGTATCTGTCCACAAAACGTCTGGGTATACGTGTACTAAAGATAAATAGATCTGTAGAAAAAACATCTACGTAAACAAACAAAATTTTGAATTATATACAAATAGGAGCAAAATTAGAAAAGGTGTGCTTTCAGACACTTGAGACCTTTAATTAATACATGATTTATCATAGGATTTTTTTTGACTTCTAAAGACATTATGGTAGTGCTACAGGTAACTTTAACACACGTATAGTAAATTGTGAAATGATAATAATAAATAATTCCTTTCCCATAAACTGATATTTCCTTTTCTCCCTTGTCAAATGCTACTTCATGTAACGAAGATTATGCACCGCAGTTACACTGTACTTTAATACATACATGTAGTAGATACAGTGAAAGTAGATAGTATGTTTATACTTTGTATATAATATGTACATGTATATATATATATACATGTACATATTTATTTATATGTTTATAACTTCATATGCCCCTCAAAACAGTTGCTATCTTTAGCTGAGCAGCTTCCAGTGCATGTGAGGTCATTGGCTTTTGTATGTCGCTTAAACAATAAGAAGAAATCTATCTGACCAAGTGACCATGCAAAGATTAGGAAGAGATTGATCGAAATCTAGGGCTTTCTTCATGTAAGCTGCAGGTTTTATCCAGGAAGGGTTTTATTACTGAATAAAGGCTCATTCAGACATGACGCAGCAAAACATTGCTGCTAAAAAATAAAATAATGACATTAAAGATAAAGACTACCGGTAGTTATGGTCATGTGATTGCAATGTGAAAGAAACGTTGTGGAATCGATCAGAAAAGGTTGATCATCTAGCATATAAATATTGGTGTGTACTGCAAGGTTCTTGAACCTCCAAAATGATAAGAAATTTGGCCCAGTCTTGTACACATAAAGATGTATATGGGACTACCCCCACACGTGAGCGACACATGTGTTATATCTATCAGGTCCAAATAGATATAATAATTTACCTAATACATACATGTATATCAATTAGTAGGCAGTTTCTCGGCAAAATTTGTATGATCGCGTCTTAGTAAGAAATATTCTTTCACATTGTGGGTAATAAGAGCTTCCATTTAATTTTTTGAGAGGGGGGGCGTTTCCAAAACTGGTCTTTACCTTTAAATGTATTACGCTTTACATTTATGTATCTTATAATACAGAGCTCATTGATTGTGCGCAAGTCCTTTTGTTTGCGCAGTTGTCATTCATTTACACGTTTTAAGAAAAAGTGGCACTTTTTTTTGGCCTTGGTTTTACCATGCCATATCTGAACAAGCCGTAAAATATTTGAAAGTAAATCTTTTCATGGATTCTGTATCTTAGTTAAAGATTGTTTTTTAAATAAAGGGGTCATTGTGATGAAAAATATGTCTTGGAAAAAAACTTTAATTGCTTTAAATGTGTGAAAAGAATATTAAAGGCTAAGTCCACTTCAAAAAAATAATTTGCTTTTAATAGATGCAAACAAAACAAAATAAACAAAGCAAACAAAATTGGAGTAATATCGGATAACTAAGAGGGAAGTTATGAATTTTTTTAAAGTATGAAAATCTATAGAACTTACAAAATCACTACACAAATTGCCAATTTGGTTATCAGTTTGTGACGTCATTGTCTCACTATAAGTATTTATCAATTTTTTAATATATTTTTATCTCATCAATTTGCCTTTTTATCCCCCATGCCTTTGCCCAGGTTTTATCATATTGCATGCATGACATTTCACAAAATATAAAATGTAACTTGGATGCTGGTGTAAGGAAATAAGATTTTTAAGGGATAATTAGAAAATTGTATTATCAATATCAAGAAAACAATTAGACAGTGAGGCAATGATGTCACAGACTCATGAGTGAGTTGCCAATTTGTCTTGTGATTTTAAAAGCTTTTCATGTCATTAAAGATTCAAAACTTTCTTGTAATAGTTATCCAATTTTGCTCAAACTTTTTTTGATTGGTTTGTCTGATTATTCTGCTTCTATTTAAAGTAAGACATTTTTAGAGTGGACTTGCCCTTTAAGAACTGTGGAAGTGCCATGTTGTGGTTCATTCACTTGACTCTCAATCCAAGGGTTGGAGGTTCAAATCCCAGTCCAGCACTAACATCCCTTTGGAAGAAATTAATCCACATTTGCCACTTTTTTCTTTTTTTTATTTTCTTTTTTTGTTCAAAATTTCACCGCCCCGTTTCTCTCTTTTTTCTGCTTCTATTCAAACCAACATAATATCAGGGTGGACTTGCCATTTTACAGGCATAATCGCCAAGAAATTTCACTTTTGTTTTTGTTTTTGTTTTATTCTTCCTGAAACGCTTGAAATAAGACTGATTCTTAATCACAGTCCGGGGGGGGGGGGGGGGGGGGGGGGGGGGGGGTTTCACAAAGACAATGACCCCGTTCTCACTCACTTTGAAAGTGGTCTTAGTTAGACCGCTCCGGACCGCTCCAGAGGAACGGGTCTTGAGGAACGGTTTGTGAGCGTTCACACTCCGAGCAGTATTTTATGGCTCAAACCGCTCCACGAGTCAAAGTGGTCTTGTTGCTATGGCAGCTCAGGTAGGCGGGTCAATTTTTTCACGCGCGGAATCCAAACCGTATGTACCTTACTACATGTTTCGCACCGAAGGTCACTAGCTCACTTCCGTTCAAAGTACGCTTTCCGTTCACATTGCACGTTAGAGCGCTCTGGAGCGCTCTTAATAAGACCCGCTCCTCAAGACCACCTCGGAAGGTGGACTTCTGGAGCGGTCCAGAAGTCCGCTTCCTGGACCACTTTGAGCGTTCTCACTCACCTAAGAACCGCTCCTGAGGAGCGGGTCTTAGTTAGAGCGCTCCAGAGCGCTCCAACGAAGTGAGTGAGAACAGGGTCTAAGATCGACTTTAAGTTGAACTTAACTGTGGCAGGTCTTTCATGCCACTAGTTCCTCTAACTATTCCTGGCACTGGTTTCTCCAGGGACGTACAAATCGTGGTCACAAATCTACAGAATTTACCTGATTTGATAGTTCATTATTGAAGGCGAAAACAATATCTAAAGATCATAATTGAGAGACCAATGGTGACAGCAACTAGTGGCATGAATGGCATAAGCTACCTTCACAGTTTCCATTGTAAATGATGAACACTCTAACAGAAACATTCTTTACCTTAATTGTGAACCATCTTGTTGCAGACCTTGTCTGGTATGCATGATTATTGTAGTTGTCAATGCTTTAAAAATGTTGATTGTACATGTATGTAAAGTTCATGTGGTCTTTTAATTGACATACTTGTATATACCATAGGCTGTACATACACAAAGTAGTTTTGTTGGACACTTGTTCTACAGGGATGAACACTAAAAAAAAGGCAACACTTCACTTGGTTAAATACATTACACAAGAACACCAATATTTGCTCATCCAAAACAGAGCCTAGGGGGGCTGCTCTGCGCAAAGATTCTGGAAGCTTTTGTGTTTGCTGCGCCTCAGGGTTTAGTCATTGCTCTGCATAGAAATATTAAGTGCGGATGGATGGAGCATTGTTTGTCAGTTATCTCAGGTCGACCTGCAGTGAATGA